AAGTCGAGTAGCATCGCGAGCCGTCGCAGCCTCCACCTCCCGCATCATCATCACCACCACCACCACCACCATCACCACCACATGTTCGCTAAGCACATCATGACATGAAGCGATGACCATGTAGTTGGCTTGATGAACAGGAACTCGAAGTAACTCGAACAGACAGGTACGCGCGACTAGACAATCACATGGCAGAGATAGCCCCACAGCTAAATAGGTACCAAGGGACAGGGTCGGTAAAGTGGAGCTGTCTGTTCTTGCTGCTCTTCTCAAAGCCCACATGACCTTTGCACCAGCACTCGTGCGTTTCAAGTCCGGAAGATGTGAAGCCGTGGCTGTGTCTCCTGATCTTGCTGCCTTTCGACTTGTGGCCATCCGGCTGTTAAGACAGCAGCTGGCTGGTCAGTGCAATCCGGCCCATCCGGGGGTAAAGGGTTTGCAGAGATTTTGTTCATGAACCTTGATGTTTCATCGGTTTTGGAAGGGTTTGGACAGTTTTTGTTAGTGCTGTGGTCTCCATTTCAGATTTCAGATTTCAGTGTAAAGACGTGTAAAGGGTTCCGGGCTTCGTGGGACGGGTGTGGGGTCGAGGGTTCTGAAGTCTTCATCCCAGAACAGGGCTTGACCCTTTACTACACCCTAAACCCTAAACCCGAAACCATAAACCCTAAACCCTAAACCCTAAACCCTAAACTAAACCCTATTGAGAAGATGCGTATACCTGGAGCCATGGTTGGGCTGCAGGGTACCTGTTTCTTCCAGAGGTGGCTGTGCGGCTTCTTCCGTCCTCGGGTCCGACTTTCGGGGTTCGGGGCTCGATCAAGATGCCACTTTGGCCTTTCAGGGAAGCCTAACCCTAAACCCTAAACCCTAAACCCTAAACCCTAAACCCTAAACCCTAAACCCTAACCCTAAACCCTAAACCCTAAACCCTAAACCCTAAACCCCTAAATGCAGTGGGCTGTGTCGTTTTTCGGCCGGCTTCGGCTTCGACCCTTTACCCAAGGCCAGGCCAGGAGGCACCATTGATTAGTGTAATGCAAATGCATCCACGCGCGGGACGTTGCTGCCTTTATTCCAAAAAGGTTTCTGTCTCATGAGTGTGCAGGGCTTGTTGAAGGGTTCAGGGTTCGGTCTGTTCAAAGCCGTGAGTAGGTGCTTCGTGTGTTGATTGGGTAACGATTGATAGACCGTCGCCGACAGAGACATTCAGTTCCATGACGATGTCCTGGCCTGCCTGGTTCGTGCGGCCTATGACCTATATTGCAAGGACCAGGTGTGAGATTGGATGAGCACATTTTTGAGGCTTCCAAGCTGTGCAAGCCCTAAGCCGAAGACGGATCGCCGAGGGAGCCAGTCCTCTGCTTTCCAGGCTTGCCATACGACACGAGTTAGTGTAAAGGTTACTATCACAAGCGTGAACATAAGGTTTACTATGAGGGTTAGTTTGAATTTAAGTCTAAAGGTTACCACAACTCCTTGAAGGCCATGCCTCCAAGCACGCACTGGCAGGCCAACTGGTTCAAGATCTTGGTCGGGGCCAGAGCCTCGGAGGACTTGATTCTGGGAGCACTGGGAGCACCGGGAATCGGGAAAAGCCATCGCGTTTTGAAGCCGGGGCAGACGCGGCGTCGTCTCCGTCTCCGGAAGCTGTGGAGGTGAAGGGGCGAGCCTGAAGTAGGATAAAACTAGTGTGTGGAGTAGCATGTCATGATGCCTCGCCCACCTTGCCGACGCTCTAAGCCCTTGATTGAATGTTCTTCTTTTGCCTTGTCAAGGCCGTGATCTGCATCAACACGGTCTGGTTGTTGGTGCAAAGTGCCCTTGCCTCGACTTTGTGGCTTCGAAGCTCGTGCTTCTTGCAGGCCTCGCAGTGCGGGGCAGGAGACCGCCGTGAAGCCTAAAGGGGCTACACCCTGAATTACTTGGGCTTGTACAGATGTTCGGCCCTGTCCTCGCACCTCAGGTCTTTCCGTACTGGCGAGACCGGCTCTGGTACCTCGACCCGGCATGGGCCTCATCTAATTTTCGGGTTTACGGGGCTGGCCCTTTCCCTATGGGGACTCCTCCTTCACGATCGCTTCGTCGTAGAGTCATAGAGTGAGACGTTTGAAGTGTGCGGAGGGATTTCTTGACAGGGGTACCTTTCAGTTTGCGAATGTCCGTGCTGCTGATGCTCTTCCCTCTGCTCTTGCCACTTCGGTGCTAGTGGCAGCTCTGGCCCGCCCAATCCAATACGCATCCCATTTGGGTTACGCCAGAGGCGTGTTTGCAAGCAAAGGGATGTTGCACAAGCAAGCAACCAGAAAAGTTGGTGATCGTAGATAGACATGTTACGGTATGCAAAGTAAGGTAACAGAACGCAAGGTAAGGTAAGGCAAGGCAGGTAAGGCAATGTAAGCAATGCAACGTAATGCACATGTGTGCGCAACTGTGTGCATGCATCAACAAAAGACGTGTGCAGACTTTGATTCAGAGCTGCATGCTGGCTGTATGCACACACAAACACATACCTATACACTATACACATGCATGCCTGCATGCCAACATCTACGTAGCCTCGCATACGTACACACGCCTGCATACATAGACACATACATAAGTACATACATACTTGCATAGAAACAGACAGACATATACATACAGACATATGTACATGTGTACATATACCTGCTGCCTCTGACGGATCATTTAACTATACATGCACGTGCATATGCATGCACATACGCATATGCAAGTAGACAGATGAGTACGATGAGTATCGACCCCGCCACGTGGAAAGTGAAAGTGAAAGGCAGAAGTAGTACATGCATACGCACATATGCATGTACATACACATATGATTATGCACACACACACACACACATATATATATATATAATATACACACACACACTTATTTATATTTACATGCGGACACTCGCACACACGCATACATACATGCATGCATGCATACACACACATAATCAGAACCATGCGGGATTCCCAACCCTCTTCAGCGAGGTGTTCCTGGCGATCTACTGTCTGGAGACAGGGTTGAGGCACCTGTCGAATGCAACAGGTGTTTGACCCGAGTATGCTAGGGCTGCCATGGTAGAAAGGCCGGTGTGGGAGACAAAGTCTGCAGGATTCCAAACGGTCAGGATCCCCTAAACACCAACATCCGAAATCTGGAACCATCGGCCCGACTTGTGAAGAAGTAGGCAAGGGGAGGCTGGCAAATGAGGCTTGGCCGCCCTTGTACCAAGTTTCAGGGTGTTCAGCTTAATGTAGATCCCAGACAGTAGCATCTTTATTGAAACAACACCCGAAGCGGAAGCCGTAGTTTTGAAGATGCATGTAAAACTCTTTTACTAATAAGACCCGTATGGCCCTTGTAAAAGCCCTCTCAAAGCTACTCTTATACAACCCTTGTAGAGCCCCATAACAGCCTCATGAAGGCCAGCTAAGAGTCTTGTTTCAGAAGCCCGGCCCTAAACCCGCCAGGATGGGCCACTGGCGCCTCCAGGCCGACGCTCCAAGGTTTAGGGAATTCTGCTACCGAAAGGAAGGATGCTGGTATGGTGCCGTTGTACCCTTGCTCTCGTTGCTTTTGCTCGCTGACGGTGTAGTCTGACGTTATCTGTTGTTACGAGTGTCAATGATTGGAGTGTTAGTGTTGGGTCTTGTTGCGATGAGAACTCATGCCGTTTAATTATTACTATGCCTTTTGCGATGCTGGTTGCTTTCTGTCGGCAACATCGCTAGCATCGTCGCCTCGATAATGAACCTGTTGCTATGGGGGTGGTTCTTGTTGTTATGGCCATGGCCACGGCTGAATTAGGTATGTTTTGCATTGATGATACTGTCAAAGTTTTTGGCGTGAGCAAAGAGACTTGCGGCACCCAGGAACCAAAAATCACCAAATGTAGACTTTGTGGTAGAATGCCCCCCTACCTGATGTGCTTACTTAACCAGGGGTAATGGGATTTTTGGGCCCATGTTGACTGCCGATCTGACATGGAAGCAGCATGGCACAGGGGATTGTTCAGAGCATGGGGCTGGGAGTCAGCTGCCTGGTGGGTTTAGAGTTCCAAGCCTCGGCTGCCGGCAGTTCTTCTCTCATCCACATGAAGCTGGCTGGAACTGGCCTGTGTCTGAGCTTGTCTCTGCGTGACCTCAGCGGTGAGTAACTTCAACACGTGCGTACGGATTTGGAGCTGATCATACGAGCTATGCAAGGCTAGTGCGCCATTCATGGGTCAGCAGGTATGTGTTCTTCAGACCTCTGCTTAAAGGCTCATGGGACTTAGTAGTTAGGGTTATAAATAAGGTAACTATACTTATAACCCCCATTTGGGCACTTATAACTGTACTTATTAAGTCCCATGAACCTCTAAGTAGTGCTGTCAACGGGATCCGTGGTGGGGGACTCCTTCGCTCAGGTTTGACCTCATCATTGTGCTTGCCGGTGTGCTAGAAGAGATAGCCACCTCGGCTTTTTTTGCAGGGTGTCCTTCTGGCCAAGAAGTCAAGAAGCATGGACATGCCGGAACGATGCTGCTTCAGAAACTGTCGTGGGCTTCTCGCAAGATAGGCCCTTTGGAAGTCCGGCGCGGAAAACCCTGCTAGTCGCAACTGGCCATTGATGGTGTCACTAGGAAACCCCACTGTGCGCGCCTGCAGACAGAACGCATGACAGGAAACTTTCTCGGACGACGAGAAGGACGGTAGTGGAACAGGCCGGGACTAAGTCAACCCTAAACTCCAAACCCTGAGCCCTGAACTCTAAACCATAAATCGAAATGAGGCTTGCCAGCTTCAGGTAAAAGCACAGCAGGATGTGCTAGCTCCAACAGAAAGCCATGGCAGCACTCATGAAAGATTCTTTTCCACACACACAAAACGTCCAAGCTTCTGACTCTCGCCGAACATGCTCTACGGCATTCGAAACGATTGAGTCTACATGGAATGCTCTTGCCGGCATGTTAAAAGCTCAAAAGGTCATGACTCAAGACATCTTACGTAGCCTTGTCTGGAGCCACGGCCAAGCAATCACGCTTCTCTGACCCACGGCCTGTTGTGAAGCATGCTTTCCAAGCGACCTGAATTTCCTCACTCCTCCTCCAGTGACACGTCAGGGATCACTTGATCAGCCCAGGTTTACCCCAGGTCGATCATAATTTGGAGCTTGTCCTGATCTTAGGATTTCGTCCAAACTTGGTCCAGGCATTGCTGGATCACGTCCTCCATGTCTAACACAGTATTCGCAGATTCTAAGTGGTTGAACTCTGTCTTGAGTACCCCGATGTCTGAAGGCGTGACATGGATTGAAAACGTGATAGCATTGATTTCCAGGCACCACATATATCCTTTCTGGCACTTGAAGTTCTCGCCTAATTTCTGTCCTGACTTCTGGAACCACCGGAGCGAAGGCTGGACCCGTCGTCTGCACTGCTTTATCCTTCTGCTCGGCCTTGTAGATTGTCCTTGTAGAACCCAGTGGAGTATCTGGTACCCTTGTTGAAGACGCTGCCCGATCTCTAGAAGCTGCACTGTCATATTGACGATCTGAGTCTTGCGCTCTTGCAATTTCAGGGACTGCTCTAGAGCCAGAACCACCAGCCCTTCGACAAACGTTCATCTCATTCTGTATCGCTTCAGCTGTTGCTTCTCTGATTCTTCTAAGTCGCCGCAAACGTCTTGATCCAGCTCCAGGTGCCACTGTAAAGTAGATTTGCCATCCAGCATATTTGATCAGCTCCCACGCCAGAGTCCACAGCAATGCTATCAAAGCAAACACGCACCACATCACCAGAGTATGGTCCACAGTCATCGGTTGATACACAGTCAGCTCATTAGCTTCGCAGCCAACAACAGACTGAGACAACACCATCAACGCAACAAGAACCTTAAACCCATTCGTGTTAGGGGCTTTAGCTCCGCTGCTGCTGGCGCTGCTTTCTTGTTTTGCAATCTGCTCCGCAATCTCCTCGAGCGACATCAAACCAATGAGCCTTGCAAGATGACGTAGGCGGATGCTCGACAAAGGCTTCGTCAAAGCATCAGCTAATTGTCCTTCACCCGGCCAATGTTCCAACTCCAGCTGCTCTGCACCCACTCTTTCGTTGATCCAACTCGACTTGATCCGTAAGTGGCGTGTGCGCCACGATCCTGATCCACGCTGTATTGCTAACGAAGAAGTACTGTCTGAGCGTAGACGAAGTTTCCATGGGCCCAGGTTGAGCTCTGACAATAGCGCTTCGGCACTTATTAATGCCAATGCACCCTCGACCGATGCAGAGAGCTCGCTTTCAGCCGTCGACAACGTCACTGTGCTCTGCCGAGCGGATCGCCAGTTGATCGGCGCATTGTCAATCGCAATCAACCACCCACTATGGGAACGAGAACCGTCAGGTGCATATGACGCATCTGTCCAAGCTATCAGGTCGTTCGACTTTGCCCTGATCCATAAATGCTGTTGGGATGTACGCTGCAAAAAACCAATACATTTTTTGGCTATTGCGGTAGCTCTTCGCGGCGCACGTCCCGACAAAGAGCTAATAAGACTTGAGGTGTATGAAATATCTGGTCGAGTCCTCTGCGACACCCACAATATCTCACCAGCCAACTGCTGCGCCTGCCTCAACTCCTCAGTGCTGAAAACTGCTTCTTCCGGTTCGGCTGTAAAGGCTGATTGCTCACGCGCGACCGGGATCAAATCCTTCTGTGTTGGTGGAATTGAATGAAGTCTTGTCAATTCCTTGATATACGGCTCCTGGTTCAAAGCGAAGCCCCCTTCCACCTTCATGATCTCGATCCCTAAGAACCGGATTCCACCATCTGAGGCCCATGACAAAGCGCTGGTCTCCCACAAGTTCTTCACAGCTTCCGCAACTGCACTTATAATTGACGGAACCGAGCATATCAGCAGGTCATCGACGTACACCACGACCAAGCCGACTAGGGAGGCATCCTCCACCAGTTTCCACCAACTCCCTTCAACTTTGCACTGCAATAACTTGATCCTCCGGTCCCCACAGACAATGTTGAGTTGTGCTAGTTGGGCATCACGGAATTCACCCCACCATCGAGGCGATTCTCTCAAGCCGTAAACTGCATGAGTGAAATCCCACAGCTCCTTTTCATCACATAGTCCAGCTCGTACCATAGCTCGCGGCGGCTGGCCCAATATCCTTTGCTTGCACTGAACCTCACTCAGAGGAGTCTGCAGAAACGCAGCTGTAACATCAAGCACTGCAGCATCCCAGTCCATCCTACTGGAGACCGACAGCGACGACCGCACCACCTCAGCCGGAGCAGCTGCCGCATAGGTATCCTCGCCAGTCTCTGCCATCATGTTTCCACACGCGACTATCCGCACCTTCCGCCTGAACCATTCACCCTTCTCGATGGACTCGGCTGAAGGTGGCTTCACAGTATACACACCCTTCATTGGTACCAGTTTCGCTCGTCCACTTTTCAGATCTTGAAGAACTTCCGGATCTGTGCTGAACACTTTCTTTGAAGCAGATCCAAACGACTTGATCTCCTTGATAGCCGCTTGCTCCCATTGATCAAAACTTGCTGTCACCTCCGAAGGATCAACAGTGTGCACTATTGTCAAAGGGGCACTCAAGTTGCTGAGCAGGTGCTCGATGTTCTTGGTATATGTCACTTCGGTCTTAGCAACTGCTGGAGCTCCATCACAACAAGCCAGTAGGACTTTTGGAACTGTATCCGGGGCCCCTTCTCCCAGAGGCATATACATGTCCCATTGATCCAGCTCGTCGTAGGAGACCTGTACTGGATCCCTTTGTTCGACGATTTCAACCTCAGCCGAGTCACATACAGACTTCTCAAACAGAACCATGCCATCTGAAGTTGCAACACCCTCTGTTAGCTCAAGCTCCTGATCATAGTACTCCTCCTCAACTGCCGATGCGGTTTTCTCGTACTGCACAGACAACATCCTGACCGCCACCACCGGAGAAACAGCATCAACCTCAGTAGGAACTGGAAAAGTTAGCTGTGCCAAGACTTCACGCTCCGGTCCCTTAATATTTTGAGGAACGCCAGGTGTATATCCCACAGCTACCACACGCAGGCCTTTCCATGGGAGTACAGCATGACGACGGTGAGGATCAAATGTGAGCACTGTGCCAGGCACCAACTTCTGCACGCAACCAAAGCGAGAATTTCCCTGCTGGTCCATCATTTCAGAAATCTTGCCTCGCACCACATCACCATCACCAAGTTCAACCCACAAGTTCCCTCCACGCGAGGGCATTGCCAGTGGGTAAACATAGTTTTGCATTCCCATCAAGTTGTTGCTATCGACATGGATGTCCCTGGTTGTATTCACCGAGATGTACACTGCAGTGAACTCTGCTTCCGAACACCGTCCCTTTATTCCCTTCACAAAGAGCTCGGCTATCCACGGATGGTCATATGTAGCCTTTGTAAGACCAACTCGACCGCCATGTCGAAAAACTCCAAACACCCGATCGCTAGGACTCAGACTGAGGGCTACATGAATCATCAGCTCTTCGGCCTCCTCCTGGTTCCACTCTTGTAGAAGTTTGAGTCCTCGATCCCTCAGTTCCTCGCTCCCAACCACTGTCTGAGCCTTTGAAACTGCTACCACATCTCCACTACCTCTTGATTTTTCTCGCACCCTCCTTTCAGGTGGTCCGGGTAGATCAGCAACGAGATCTTCTTCTTGATTTGGAGCTTCTTGCGTTCCCACTCGAACATTCACAGTGTGCACAAACTTCTCCCCATCATCTCCAGACAAATAGACAATATGACCGCGTCTCAAAGTTTCGGAGAGCCCTAGATAGCGACCCTCAAGCCAGCGAGGTGCTAAATCGTCAGGCTTCCCCGGCTCAGCAGTACCACCGTACTCTCTTCTTCTGACCAACACCTTGGTTCCGAATGGAGCTGCAAGTCGCGTTTCCATACCCAAGGTAGATGATCTCTGCAAGGTAGCGGCCATTGACACTGCTTGAGGCCACAGTCGCTGAGGCAGCTTGGCTCCAATCAACAATGTTCTTGCTCGTTGCTTGATATACCTTACAGCATTTTCAACCATTCCATTTTGTTGATGTAGCCCCCCTTCGCTGGTTGTAAACCTCATCCCATGGTACTTAATCCACTGTCTTGTAGCCTTGGCATAAAACTCCATTCCACGGTCACAATGAAATCTCACCACTGGAATGTTCAGCGACCAGCAATACATCACCACGTCCTGAATAGCCTCCAGTACTGTTGCTCCTTTGTTGTCGGGAATAGCAGTTGCAAAGATAAGATTCACCGTCTCAGGGCCAGTCATATCTAGTTCCTCCTCTGGACTGATTCTTTGAGCTGGCTGCTCTTGATCCTCCTCAGCTTCTTCGAACTCATCATCTGCTACTCCTTCTGCCTCTGCAAGACCGCCGTCTCCTCCTGGACCCTCATGTTCCTCTGGATCTTCATAGTCGAAAGCATCCTCCCCTGGAGCGACATCGGCTTCAAGCTCACCTGGATCATACTCTACGCCAACACCTCGTCCATCATCCAAGAAAGCTTTCGGAACCTTCAGCTTTGCAACGAACATATACTTATGCGGCTTCGGAAATGCTCCTCTGGCGTCTGCGTCCAGACCTGGTACCTTCAACGGCCCACTTACATCTGCCGACAGCACAAAGCAAGTAGGGTGTTCAACTCTTGAGTGTCTCCTCCCAGTAGCCCCTGCTGTCACACATGTCATGCAGTCTGACCTGAAAGGTAGGTGCCCACGACGCACGTGCTCCTTCCACTGCTCTGCCGACATCTTAAGCATCCTGGGTGAAATGCGCTGTTCCCGAATAGCGATCGAAACTGTTTCTGAAAATTCCTTCGTCCACACCGACGGCGGCGCCTTCACTGGTGGCTGCGCATCTGGCTGGATTCTTCCTCGTAATCCATGAAGATGACGTAGAGGTAGATTTGTACCAACCGTAGTGTGTCTCGATAGCGCCTTGCCAAGCGAAGACATGTCGAAGCTGAATGTAGTCAATCCAGCTTCCTCTGCATACTGAATCCATAACCCAGTTCGCCAAAAGCTCACCGAATCAGTCACCAGTGGATGAGAGAACGATAAATAGGTCTTGGGGTCCCTTGGCTGCTCAAGCATAAAGCCCACTTCTTTGACATCATTTGGTTCTGGTGGATAAACGCATCTTCCTGCCGTAGCCAAGGCGTGAAGGCAGATCATCTTGACGAATAACCCTGTATGCCGATTGACCAACTGCAGTTCCTTAGATGATTGTCCATACCAACCGCCGTAGGGGAATTCATTGCTCCTAAGTGGGTCCGGACCAGGGGTCATGCTTCTTCTCAGCATAAAGGTATTTTGCGGTGGTCCCCCAACCACCGAAGCAATCCTCCCTGATCTTGCTGCCCATTCCAATGCCCTCCAAACCAACGGATCACAAACATCATGGCTCTTACCTCTTTCCACATCCAACTCCAACACCGCAAAACCTTGACGCTCCAAGAACTGGATCTCTTCATTCGGCTGCTTGCCTGCATATAGGTGAAGCACCCAATTTCTTGATGACCATAGCTTCTTTCGGGTACGTCTATTCAGATGCTTTAGTCCCTTCAGCGCTTCCCAGCCATTGGAAATGGGGTCCGCCTCCGACAAGCCAAACAGAGCTTCCTTTGGAACCTCATCAAAGAACGGTGCTTCTCGAATCCCAAACTGCGCCTCTGCTCCAATCCCAGACCCACAGTAAGAGATCAGATGGTCAAACCACGTTCGGCTCAATGACAAAGCAGACTCTCTAATCTTTGCCCTTGTCGACGAAGTAGCTGTCTTGAGGTCTTCAAGCTTCTTGTCTTCTATTCTCGAGATCAAGTCTAAAGCCTGGCGCTCTGTGATTTCGGGACAGCCATCCCGAACTCTCAAGGTTAACACTTCTCCATCGCGTCCGACAAGTCGACACCTGGAACCATGCCACTCCATTCTGTAGCCTAGCACACCCACCAGAGATCCCAGTGGAACAATTGGAGCTGTACTCGAGGTTCTTGTTGTGCCAAGACATGGAACCAACAATGTGCCTGCCGCATTCATTTTAAGCTCCACCACTTCGCCACCTGCTAGATGAACCACCACCGTCGAAGCCGCATCCCATTCAGACTGGGTGAAGGCCCTCCTTAAAGGGTGCGTCGCACCTGAATCTACAAGCGCGTATGTTCCTTGTCCACTGAGTTCATCTCCTGGAGAACCGTGAAGTGACAACACTCGCAACGACGGTGCCTTTGCTTCTGGAGGTACTCCTGCAACCTTTGCCGCTGCTTGTAGTAGTGCTTCCCACGACAACACTGGAGTTCCTTGAGATGGCTCAATCGCTGCAATCGACTTGGGCGAAGTTTCAGACTCTGGTTCGCCATTTCCTCTAGCTCGCTCACCATGCTTTGGAGATTCTGAGGTTCCTTGCGAGGTTCTTGGCAACGAAGTACGCGGCATCTTCGTCGGACAATCCTTTTGCCTGTGGTCCTCTGCGCCACACACCAAGCATTTTTTGGCCCTCTCGATCTTAGATAAAGAGCTCATGTCATGCTGGTATGGACATTTGCCTCCCCGTCTGCATCCTGACGACTTCATGAAGTACTTGCACATTGGCTTAGCTCCAGGTTGATTGGTCGTCGAAGCTCCTTGGGCAGCAATAGACCTCACTGATGGCGCCGTGCTTACTGAGACCCCAGAAGTCAAAATGTTTTCCACTTCAGCTTGAAGATGCTGCTGATATTTCATCACCTCACTCAGTCCCGGCTGCTGATCGATCCTCAAGGTTGCACGAACCAACTGTGTTCTGAACATTGCGTCGGGGTACTGGCTGATTGCTCCATATGTAAGGTTTGTAAGACCCCTTGCCAATACTGTGCCATCTGGAACTGACATTCCCATGTCCTGACACCTCTGCACCCATCTTGGCCAGGCGCGGAGCTGCTTCAAGCAATCATCTGTTGTACTCGGACGATCCCCACCTTGTAGACGCTGCAGAATAATGACTCTCTCTCCTGCACCGCCTGGTTGGTATAGGGTGAATAGTCTGAACAACAACATCGGCATACTTTGGGTCGCCCTTCTCGCAATCAAGTCAGTCTTCACCGCTTCTGGAACTGCTTGAATCACCATTGCACACGATCTTGCATTGATCCTGACGTATTTTCCTGAGGCCAAAGTGCTTACTTCTTCAGGCTCAATGCTCAATCTTTCCAGCGGTGTCGATCCCAACCACTTACTATACGCTTGTACGACCTTCACCTTGACATTCTCCCACCAAGTCCCCGAGCTCGTCGACAAATCTTGCATGGCTGTTGTAACCTGCACCATCCAGTCTTGAAACTGTAATCCACACTGGTCACCTTCTGGAGCTCCAAGAGTTGGTAGAACTGTCACGGCTGTTTTCACTGCTTCAGGAGACCCATCATCACCCCCGTCCTTGGACAGAGCCTTAACTTGGAGATCTTGGATTTGCCTCATACTCTGCGCCAAGGCTTCAATAACCCCCAACCCTTCCAAGTTGACTGCAGGAATTTCAGCTCTGGGAAGATCTGTCTCCGTACTTGCACCTTCAGGAAGAACCTCCACCGGCCGTACTGTCGATGACTGTCCCATCGTAGGCAGCTTTGCTGTCAAGCCTTCCCACAGCCTACTCCATGGTTCGTTTCTTACATCCTGAGCTTGAGGTACATTAGCGGGATCACCTGATCGCATTTCTGCTGGTCCTTGTAGAGGAGGTGCAATTCCCGCAGGTACCTGAGCTGGAAGAACAGGGTGCGAAGCTGCTGTCATCACCATCTTTGCTCTTTCCGCTTGCAATTCTTGCTGTAGCCTCACATTGTCCCCTTCCACTTCCGTCAGTCGAGACAACAAATTGCCCATTTGCCTTTGGACTTCAGCCTGAATTGCTTCTGCTGGTATGCTGCTGCTACTGGGGGTATTATTGAGGTGATTAACCCTAGCACCCTTAGGGAACCCTAGTCCATCATCAACACGACCATCCAGCTGCGCATGACCAGGTGGCACCGCCCTCATCGCTCCTTGTACTCTTGGTGGCGGAGACGGAATTGGACTCGGCAGCCACGTATTCGGTATTGGCGGGGCTTTGAACAAATCCCCAATTCTCGAAACCCATCCAGGCCAGGCCCCATGAGCTCCTTGTCTCATTGCACCAAACCCAGTCATATGCGAACCCATACTTGATCTTGGAGTATGGTAATTGGATGACATTCCGCCACCCACAGCTGCTGTTTGATCCACAGTAGCACCAACCCTTTGCTCAGCAATCTCCACTGCGTTCGCAGGTCCTTGGGACCTGATTTGCACGCCAGTCTGTGTATCCTGAGCAGGTGGTCCCATCTCTGTAGAACTCCCAGCAACATCAACTTGAACCCCTTCGGTGTTCGCCGCAGTCTCATTTGAAGCCAGTCTCTCTTCACTTCTCTGCTTTGCACCAGCATCACTAGTATGCATGCGGCCTTGAACATCACCATCGGCCGTCTGAAGCTGAGCCTCCAGTCCTGCAGGTGCAGTTATCTGCTCCATTGACCCATAGGTTCGCTCTGCTTCCTGCGGTCTTATAACACCATTCGGCTGCACATTAGCAGCGGGTTGGGCGCTCATAACCTCGAAATGAGGCTTGCCAGCTTCAGGTAAAAGCACAGCAGGATGTGCTAGCTCCAACAGAAAGCCATGGCAGCACTCATGAAAGATTCTTTTCCACACACACAAAACGTCCAAGCTCTGACTCTCGCCGAACATGCTCTACGGCATTCGAAACGATTGAGTCTACATGGAATGCTCTTGCCGGCATGTTAAAAGCTCAAAAGGTCATGACTCAAGACATCTTACGTAGCCTTGTCTGGAGCCACGGCCAAGCAATCACGCTTCTCTGACCCACGGCCTGTTGTGAAGCATGCTTTCCAAGCGACCTGAATTTCCTCAATAAAGCTAAACCCTGAACCCCAAATCCAAAAAATCCTAAGTGCTTCAAGCCTGGCTTCAAGGCCCACCAAGCCTCCAAGCATCCAAAGCAATGAGCAGTTAGGGCTCAACCGAGAACCCCTGAGCCAAAGAAGGCCCGAAAGCCATAAGTTTAGGGTTTGGGGTGTAGGGTTTAGAAAATAGGGTTAAGGAAAATAGGGTTTTTAGGGTCTAGGGTTTCGGGTTTGAGGAAAATAAGCCTTAAACCCTACAGTGAGCTCTTCTTGTGCTGCAGGCACTCAGCTGATGGCCCTACGGGCCCGGCTCCTATCATGGGGTTTCCTAAGACTTAAGACAGGAGGTCTCAAATGACGGCGCCCGTGTGACAAGGATCCTATCATTTCGGGTCTACATTCGGGTTTCTCGCTTTTTGTGAAAATCCCCCATCGAAACTTGGGAGCTTTTGCAAGGAGGGGCCTCTGCGTTCTTTTGCTTGTGGGAACCTTCATTGAAGGAGCCTCGGTGTAGAGCAGAATCACGCCATGTCGGGAGACGGTTTGAAGCTCCAGGCGCTCGCTGAGTGCACTGCCGATGAAAAGCCAGATTTCGATTCCAGGGCTTAGTTGCTTCCTCGAAATCGGGCCCTAAACCCTAAACCCTAAAACCCCTAAACCCTAAACCCTTAAACCCTAAACCCTAAGCCCCGGTAAAGTTGACAGACGGCATCAAGCTTTAACTCACAATCAGTTTCCGGAGCATGCGATCGCAGCGGCTGAGGTCTTCAAGCCGCTCCGCCTGGTGGCGCGGCTTGCGCGGTGGACAGCTCGGCAAGTAGGCTTGGGGGTTTAGGGTTCAGGGTTTAGGGTATAGGGTTTAGGGGTTTAAGCTAAGAGTGAGTTGCGGCTGGCATTCATCATCATTCTTTGCTATCATCATTAGAGTATCAAGACTGCTGTCAGAAAGTTCAGGCTCCAGCTTTTGGGCGCAGGGCCTGACTGCTACGAAGAATGGATTACCGGGGAAGGCCTTTCACGAGGCTTTCTGGTGATACGGATCTCCCGCTCACAGCTTCAAAAGCGCCTAGTCTAACCATAACCCTAAACCCTAAACCCTAAACCCTAAACCCTAAACCCTACATGGGGGGGAAGCCGCCGGATGATAGCCTCTCATCCCTTGCTAAGGTTCATGCGAGTCGTCAGACTGCGCGGGGCTTGGCACGTGTGGTCCTGGTGAGCTTAGCTAGTACGGGCCATCATCCGTGTCAGGGAAGTGCCCAGAAATAGGGGTTTCCGAAAATAGGGGACCCTAATATAGTACCCCAAATAGTAGGATCCCTAGTATAAGGACCCCAAAATAAGGTACCCCTAATTTTCGGAAACTCCCAAATGGCATGCTGAGCTTTAGCCTGTATCGCCTGTGAGACTCGGATTCTCCAAGCTCACTTCCCCGTAGCTTGGATGCCAGATCCCAGGCTTTGAACCCCGAGCTTGAGTTGAAACCTGAGAGTTCGGAGCAGAAATTGTGACGGCTCTCTGAAAGCAAATGAGTTGGGGAACCGTGAGGAAAACGAGTCTCAGCAAAGAGGCACCTTCAGCACATGAATATGAAGAACTGCGAGCACAGTGAGCTCGGGAAGTTGATGGCAGTTGCCAACTGCAACACCATAAACCCTAAACCCTAGACCCCCAAGCTCACAAAAAGGCCATACCATTTCTTTGCCCCGAAATCTGCCAAGCCTTCTAGTCTGCTCTTCGCTCAGGAGGGAGCGGAAGCTCTCCGGTTTGGAAATGTAGCGTTTGTATTTACTAGAGCTGGTTCCTTGTTGGGCTCCTTCAAAGGGTTCCTTAAAGGGTTCTATAGGGGCTACTCTAAGGGTTTAGGGTTTTAGATCTGGGTCCTTGTTGGACACAACTTTCCTTTTTTGCTATGATAAAAACCCAACAAGGATTCAAACATGATCATGTTCAATATGGCCCCAACAGGGAACCAGAGAAGGTTCTGGGGTATATTCGACCATAGTCATAACAAGGAGCCCGAAAAAAGAGTATCGCTGCTCTTTCCGGCTTCTACAGTGAGTTCAGACTGTCCCAGCCACAAGGTTCTCCTCAATGCCCTAAGACCCTACTTGGAGGTTCATGGGACTTAATAAGTACAGTTTAAAAGTACCCTAATTGGGGTTATACGTATAGTTACCTTGTTTATAACCCTAATTGCTAAGTCCCACGAGCCTTTAAGTAAGCTCCCAAGCCCCAGACAACTCAAAGGCTGCGAGTGCTTCTGACGGCGGACTTCTCTTGGGCCGCCTGCTCAGTGCAAAGGAATATGCCTTAAATAAGGATCCTACTATAATTTAAGGAATATTCCTTAATTAAGGAATATTGCAGTGGAGCTTTAGCTTGGCAGCCTTTTGGGGGGTCCGTGCTTGGAAAACGGTTTTAGGGTTGCAAGGTTTAGGGTTTAGGGTTCAGGGGTTTAGGGTTTAGGGATCTCGCAATAGTTTGGGTCAAACAGGCTTCTCGAAGTTCGAGCAGGAATATGGGTTGGTACCGTTAACCCTGAGCCTTAAACCAGCAATCCTGCCCTGATGGGACAGCACAGTTCCTGAAGACATACGGCTGTTGGATTGAAGTGTTGTAGGTTTATAGTAGCTGGGCCCCGATCGACCTTTGTCTGAATGCTCTGCATTCCATGAGTACTTTAGGTAGCGTTAACCCGGAGGCTAGTGTTGATCATCTTGCTCACAGTTGCTGGCATGGCTATCTATAGCGTTGCAAAGATGCCATAACTTGTGTTGCTTGTTTTTGTTGCAGGAGGGCAGGACGGATGCACGATTTTTCAGGCTTTCTGGAGGGCCCATAGTGTAAGGCTTGCAGTGGGGCCGGGGGGAGGAGGTCGTTTTTATTTGGGCTTCCTGCATCCCTCAGCATCCTAAACCGCAGACCTTCAGGGCTCTAAGCTTGTTAGGTTCCCTAAACCCAAAACCCTAAACCCTAAACCCTAAACCCTAAACCCTAAACCCTTAAGGCCTTTGAGGGGTTTGTTTCCGGGACTCTTCGAGCACGCCTTCCGACCGCCAGGTCGAGTCTGCAACGTTCCAGTCTGCGGTAGGCCTGTGCCTCTGAAGAGGGACTACCATAATATACTAGGGTGTATAGTACACAGACCCACATATATACACATATATATATATATATATGTACAAATACCTTTGTGTACATGCATACAACATACCTACATACATGCATACATACGTACATGCGTACATGCATACATGCGTACATGCAGGCATGCCTGCAGACATACATGCATACAGACATACATACAGGCACACCCACACACATGTATATATATATATATATGTATATATACACATATGCATATGGATATGCATATATATATATATAAGATTTACCGCACATATACATATTCACCACTATACATATTTATAACCTCACATATTTAAAACATGTAAGTCTATGTCTTGATTTATATCTATATCTCTGTTATCTCTGTAACTATATCTCGATATCTTTAATTCTATATCTACATATCTGTATAGCTCTGTATCGATCTATCCGTTTATCTGTATATGTATGTATATACCTCCATATCTCTATACCTACATAATATATCGCCATACCTCTATATCTGTACCTCTACATCCTTTTATCTATTTACCTATTTATCTCTATATTTTCTCTGTATATCTTTACATAATGAGTAAGTAAAGTTCATAAATAAATAAATAGATAAATAAATATA